TTAACCCCCCCCCCCCCAATTCAGATTATTGGCAATGACTGCCTGGAATGTTATGTTGAGAAGGTTTGGGAGGAAAGAATTCTGGGATTAATTAGTAATATCTGTCCTGTGCTTCAGATAGAAGATGGCAATTGTAATTGATTGACTTATTGTTTGAAATTATTTACTTCCTTGCGCATTGCCATGTGACTTGCAGTATCTCCTGAGTGTGTATTTCATTTCGCTAACTTTGGACTTGATTGTGTTTCATATTTTGGCCAATGGGATGTGAATAAATGTGACTCATGCCATGTTTGAGCATGTGAGTTTCCATTTTTCTGGTTCTTCTGTCACTAGAATGGGCAGATTCCATAGGAGACTTGTTCCTTCTACCTGGGTCCTGGAATCAGAAAACCCATAGAGCAGAGCTGCAACCTGCCCACAACCTACGTAAAAATAAGTCAGAAATAAATCTTTGCTGCTGTAAGCCACTGAGATCTGGGGATTGGTTGTTACTGCAGAAAAGCTGACTAATAACCATACCTGGAAAATGGTATCAAGTTTGAAAGGTAAATGGTATCAACTTTGAAAGATCAAGTTTGAAAGATAAATGTAAGCCTGAGTGTGGAGAATCATGAATGTCAGGTGAGTCAGAGCCTGCTATGCGTTCATCAGAATCTCTTTCCTTCCTTTTCTTGGACACGTACCTGGACCACATTTTTCAGTTTCCCTTTAAGTAATTTGTTTCACTTCCAGGCTTGGCTCATGAAAACCTCTCAACAGAGATCCTTCACATTCTTTCCTCTCTGGCTTGATGCATATAAACTTGAGCACAGTGACCCTGAAGGCCAAATGTTAAAGATGGTGGGGCCACAGATTGGAAGGAATGTAGCTCCCTTAATCACCACTTGGCAGAGAAGTACCTGCTAATCATGAACATGCGTTTTGGACTTCACTTGACCAATAAATCAATTTCTATTTGCTATATCACTAGAATTTTGGGCTCCATGTTTTATAGTAGATAGTGTTTTCTCTTAAAATTTTTCGTTGTTGTTCTTTATTGATTTTAGAGAGAGAAGGAGGGAGAGAGAGGGAAAAACATCAACTTTGCTGTTCCACTTATTTATGCATTCATTGGTTGACCCTTGTATGTGCCTTGACTGGGGCGCATACCTTGGTGTATTGGGATGACGCTCTAAGCAACTTGCTACCGGGCCAGGGCAATAGTGTTTTCTTAACCAATACATCATGTTAAAAGGTTTGGATTTGATTCCCATTAGAAATAGGAAGTTAGTCACTGATGATTTTTTTAAAACAAGAGGAATAATACTGTGAAAACTGTTGGGAGTGACAGTTATGTGGATAAAAAATATTACTGAGTGAGGCTGTGAGATCTTGAACTGTGGAGTTTTCAGAATACTTCTGATTGGGGCAAATTCCTGACTGGGGCTGGGAGAAGATTGACAAGGCTCTCTAGAGGCTGTGGAAAGAGCTGCTGCAAAATGAATCTTATTTTCTGAAGTTTAAAGTCTTTTTTTCTCTTTTGTAAAATTCCTAACTCTTCAACTGGTGTTTCTTCATCTAGCCCAGTGCCTGATACATCATAAACTTTGAATAGAAGCTGGTCCTGGACTCTTGGAATGCTTTGAGGAGCTATACCACTGGTTGGGTGTCTATTATGTAAGAGTAATGTGATTTCACCCATCAAATCATCACAGTAACGATGCAAGGTGCTATTAGAGTTTACAGATAAAGAAACTGAAATTCTAAGAGTAATTTACCTAAGGCCTCTCAGAACAACCTCATTCTAAAACCCATATCTTTTCCACTATAACAAGATGATTCTTAGAAAATCATAAAGGCTAGTATTTACTGAGTGGCTGCCATGTGCCAGGTGCTCTGTTGGGGGCTTTACAAACATAACAGAAGCAGCTGGTATATCCGTTATTGTAGGCTGTTACTTAGTGTTTCCAAACTATGGACTCTGTGGGAAGTAGGTATCATAGTCTGCTTAGGCTGCCATAACAAATTACCATAGGCTGGGTGACACAAACAACAGAAATTTATTTCTTACATTTCTGGAGGCTTGGAAATCCAAGATCAAGATGCTGGCTGAGCCTGGCCGGGCATGGCTCAGTGGTTGAGCATCGACCTAGGATTCAGGAGATCACCGTTTGATTCCCGGTCAGGGCACATGCCTGGGTTGCAGGCTCAATCCCCAGTTGGGGGCGTGCAGGAGGCAGCTGATCAACGATGACTCTCTCATCAATGATGTTTCTCTCTCTCTCTTCCTCTCCCTTCCTCTCTCTGAAATCAGTATAGATATATATATATTTTTAAAAAAGGATGCTGGCTGATTTGGTCTTTCTTTCTTTCTTTCTTTCTTTCTTTCTTTCTTTCTTTCTTTCTTTCTTTCTTTCTTTCTTTCTTTCTTTCTTTCTTTCTTAAATATATTTTTATTGATTTCAGAGAGAGGAAGGGAGAGGGAGAGAGAGAGATAGAAACATCAATGATGAGAGAGTCATCATTGATCAGCTGCCTCCTG